ATCAACCTGTTAGTGTTGTTGTGTGTATTTATTTAATTAATGGAAATCTAATCATGTGAGCGAGCCTTTTAGGAAGTCTAATTCAGTCATAACATCATTCGACCGTGGTTTAGCATGGCAGCATCGTCTGAGGTACTGAAGTGTAACAGTGTTACGAGACCTGAGTTTTTATGGTCTACTGAAAGTCGCAGCTGTTTTGAATTATTTCCCTGTCGAGGCACCGTAAACTGTGTATCTGGTGATGTTGACGCTGTTTTTGGAGTAATTTAACAGCTAATTCTTGCATGCGTCTGTGTTCGCCGTGGTCTGTCTGTAAGACGGTCAGTCTTGCTATAAGTCTATTAAATGTATTCCGTTGTATACATAACCCTAGTTGCTGAGTACTACGTCATCTGTGAGGTTTCAGCCTATCATTGCTCTCCAGTTTGGTGGTTCTCTGTACAGGTTTTACCTTGTCTCTTGATAAGAGTGCTCCTCCAAGATAATCACTGAAAGCAGCGTATAAGCAGATTTCAGCTGTTGAGTCTTTATAAGGACGTTTAACCACTGGTTTTTGCCTCCGACACAACAAGGGTCTCCTATTTAAAACTGTATACATGCTTGCCTTTACATATGTAATAGTCATTAAAATGTCTCGATTTTGTTTGAAACCAGGATAACGTCCACAAAGCACATTATGTTTTACTAGTCAGCTTGAGATAGGCTTGGATTGCAAGCACCTGCACAAAGAAACTGATAGCAAACAATTAGAAAATAATGATTTATAATTAATGATTCTTTACCATTTCATGTTGCTAATCTCGTGGTTGCCGACTTTTTGGGTCATCGGTAAGTTTAGCCGCGAGTTCCGTTGAGGCTGCATTTAATGCTTCTAAACGTATTTCATAGTTTCACTGATATTTAAACTGGTTGCTATACATAGTGTGTTATTACCAGGTTTTTTATAGGACTGTGTGGGTCAGTTTGTTATCATGGTTCATTTGCTACCAACACTAGTAGTAATCCGTGACATCTCAGCTGTCGATTTTTATGTCATTGAGCTTATCAGATGAGATCGAAGTCTGACAGTATATGTTTTTTTATACATATCTTTCACAATTTTAATTATCATACTTTACGTCGTTATATTAGGATGTCTCAGTTGGATGAGTATTGTCTATTCTTCATATGAAATGTATGATTATTCACTCGTGGACAACTAACAATTCAATTGATTTTTACGCTGTTAGAGGTTGTTTATTATCTAGCTAGGTTAGGGATGACGGTGGTTCGTTGCTTCTGGCTGGTTAGTCTCTCTATAGTTGTTTGCGTTACGTTAGCTCCATAATCAGATCTAAGCAAACATTTGGATGGGATTTTTTTAGGGTATGTTGGTTGGCTTAGGTGTTGAGTTGTTATTTTGCTTGTTGTGTGTGTGTTGTGTGTGTGTGTGTGTGTGGGTTGCATGGTTAGGTGTCTGTGGACTGGTGTTTTGTATAGTGGCATGACGTGTGTGTTTTTGTTGGGATTTTGTTATAAGTGTTGGTGTGTGTTTTGAGTTGCTGATGGCTGGATTCAGCTGTGTTGTTTGTGTTGTGTTGGGTGTGTTGTGGGGTATTGGTTGTGTGTCTTTGTTGAGATGTTATGTGTGGGCTCGGGTGTTTTGGAGGTGTGGGGTGTTTATGGTGTTATGTGGCTGTAGTTGTGTGTTCAGGCGTTTTTGTTTTCGTGGTTTGTGTGTTTTTGTTTTTGGGCTTTGGTGTGGTTTATTTGTGTTGGGTGTTATTTTGTCATGTGTGTATTTCAGTTTTGGTGGGGTGGTGATTTTTCTTTTGTGTGGTTATTGCCGGTAGCAGTTTTTTGGTGTTTTCTGTTCTGTTGTTTTGTACTTTATGTTTGATCTTTGACTCTGGACTTGAAGGGTTCATGGAGCTTTTCTACTTACGACGCTGTTGGTGTGTTTTATGTGCGAGTTAAAAGTTGGAAACTAACTGATTGTTTCAAACCTTTTATTGTTTGTCTTTTACGCCATCGTATTTGTTGTATTATTATTTACCTTTGTTTTTATGCATGTCTGTTTTCATATATACTACGACGGAGTTATGTTTTTGATGGTCTCATTACTAAAGGAAAATAGGTAATTATAGAAGATGACGAGGTACAGATTATTGAAATTAGCGAATAAGATCGCAATAATTAGCTGAGAATAGAGGTGTGTGTTACAAGATGAGAACGAGATTTTTCTGCAAGTCCGCTAGTTGGTTCTTTCTTTTTCGAATTATATTATAAGACTTCAGTTCCGTTTGCTTATCGGAATCGTTTCAGTCCTGATTTACTGATATATTAATTTCTGATGCTGATCGTGTGAATGAAGTAATTATCACTTATTTGTGGACCTGATTGTATTTACTCGTGGAATATTATTAGACCTTCTCACAAAATGATTCAACTATTCCTCAATTTTATTACCGCTAGCGGGATAAGAGTTATCTATAATAAATATAATATTACGACTTTATTCTCGCAATATTACGACTTTATTCTCGCAATATTACGACTTTATTCTCGCAATATTACGACTTTATTCTCGCAATTTCCAAAAATTAGTCTGGACCTAACTCTGTGGTAAAATACTGATACCAGATACTGTTAATGCCTAAAAAAAAAACAAATTTTCCCAGTACTGAAGTCCTGACCCGCCCTGCTGTGGTTCTGATGAAGGGTTTAACCTGAGCCAGGCTCTACAGCAATGACACAGGCTTAGTATCTCCACTTCCTATAAGAAGTTACAGATAAATAACTAAGATACGTTAATCTGACACAAGCACCACTGATTGGGAATCAATTAATCAACCAACTGATTAATCAGCTAATAGCCTCAGCTGTAATTTAATATTTAATACTGCAGCACATTACTAGAAAGAGTGCAGCAGGTTCTTCGCTCTGACACAAAAGAGAGGAAAAAGCTTCTTATAATAAAACACCTTTTTCACCATCTTATATTAACAATAACGTCTAGAAAGTGAAAGCATTGGTCTGAATAAGCAAATCAGTGGTTGAAGGCCACTGCCGGATGAAAACACACCGTACAATACACACGCTTTAGGGTCGATCCACGGTGCACCTGCCTTTAATAAAAACACTAATTAAAGAGTCTCAATGGGACGGGAGATTACCCATTAATAGCCTCTTAAATACAGAAGAGCAGCAGTCATCACGAGAGGCTGATGTCAGTGGAAAGTATTTCTCCGAGGAACGAAGGGCTGCTCGTTGTAACGTGTGCCGGCATTAACTGTGGTAGTGTGAGCTACAGGTGCCTGATTAGACTGATCAGGATCAAGATCTGGGTCAATGAACGGGTTCAAACTCAACCGAGAAGAATCAAATATACAGAAGAGATGCAGCAATTAACCAATACGCTGACAACTGTTGAATTAATTGGCAACTAATTCTCAGATTTCAGCTTCTAAATTGTGGATATTTGTCTGGTGTATTTAGTCTTTTATGACAGGGAGCTGAATATCTTCAGGTTGTGGAACAACAAAAAGACATTTGGACCTTTTTCACCGTTTTATGGACCAAACAGCTTATCGATTAATGTAGAAAATGCTCCAAAAGACAGAGTCCAAACACTGACACCCTCCTTTATGTCACTTTACTGTGTGTGTCTGTAGTGACAGATACAACACAAGCTGCACGCAAAACCCCCAAAACATCTGGATGCTCTAAGAAACACCAGCAACCAGCACAAACCCTTCACCCTCTTTAAAGCACCTTCTCCTTAAACACTGACCCAAAGTCACTCAGCCGGGCTCCGAGCCAGGACAGCATGTTATTGTACCCATGATACCTCCAGGAAGTCATGGTCGAAGAGGGAAAAACAGGCACTGGCACATTGTGCAACACAGCAACATAACAAAAGGGGAATGAGAAGAAGCAGCAGCATGCATGTGCAGATAAAACATGTGAGATAATGTTTAAAAGATGCACAAAAGAAGATGCAAACCTGCAACAATACAAACAATCTGCAGCAGAACAGAACAAAGCATCTGAGCTGTAGAGGAGTGCAGCCTGTCTCTCTCTCTCTCTCTCTCTGTCTGTTAACCATCATCACTAAAAACAAAAAAAAAAAAGGAGAATATATTTCCAACCTACCTGAACGAGCTGCAGAACAAACGCAGTTAAAGTCGCAGTTCAAGCCTTTTTTGGAGCACAATAAGTGACCGATGACCCAGAAGGAGCTCGCTGGAGCAAAGTGAGCTGTGTCTGAGCCTGAAGTTGGACTTGTGTGTGCAGGTCTGCTCGGTGGAAGCTGATCTGGAAGCTGCTGAGGATCTTTAACACGCCTGCCTTAGCTCCCTTAGCTCCACTGCTAACTCTGTGTAACGTTGCCGTCCTCCTGCGTTACATTTGGGATGAGTACGTTACTTGGTGCCATAAAAGGGGCGGATAAGCACCGATTAGGCACCGGCTGCTTACCTTTTGCCTGCTCCGGTTACCGGACGATGAAGCTGCTCCGGTTGTTTGAGGCTACGTAGCATTAGCCTGCTAGTGTCGCAGTCGGCTAACCAGACGAGGCTGCTGATCCCCGGGTTGTCGAGCGATGTTACGATACTAATGACAGATTTTACCTCGGTTTCTTTCAGGTTCTCACATCCCAGACTGTTGAGGATTGATTCTACGTTTTAAAATATTATCATGCTGCTGTTATTGTGTAAAAAAAAAAAAAGAAAGAAAAGAAAGAAGAGTCAGTAAGAATCAGCTTTTCTTCTGGAGGGGAGCTGGTTGCAGTGTGTGTTTGTGTGTGTGTGCAACAACAACCTGGCAGCTCAGCACACCTTCCTCATTGCACAATGACCCTCTTATAATGTATTCATGAGATCACACAGGGCTAATGTCTCCCACAGAGAGGCTGTCCCCCCTCCTCCTCCTCCTCCTCCTCCTCCTGCAAGTCAGGCGGCTGACTGACTGCAGACCAGAGCAGCAGATCATTTTAGAGAAGAGAGGATGGAGGGAGGGAGGTGAGGGAGCGAGGAGGGAAGGAGGGAAGGAAGGAAGGAGGGAGGCTAGATCATGCAGAATGACGTCACCAGTAAATGATCACGTATGTATGATCCGTGCATGCAAACATGGTGTGTGTGTGTGTGTGTGTGTGTGTCTTCCTCTCTTAAAGCCATCAGTGCACCTGCTGTATATGTGTCACCTATCAGCAGACAGACAGACGGACAGAGAGACAGACAGGCGGTGTGGTGGTGTTTCAGGGCCCGGCAGCGAGTGTTTTGGAGTCATTAGAGGTGTCTGCAGTATCTTGCCAGAGGGCAGTGCAGCGTGGAGAATAAAAAAGTCCAACCTGCCTGTGTTTTTCAGACCTCTGTTGCCCTGGAAACAGGTGCCGAGATTTCCCATTTCTTCATTTTTTCTCTCTCTCTACGCTATCCATATCACTCCCCACCGCCGCCGCCACCTCTACACTCCTCACACTGCTGCTGCTGCCTTGCTGCTTCCTCCCCCACGACCTGCCGCATAGTACAATCACACACACACACACACACACACACACACACATATATATACACACACTTTGCACACAATTTCCAATCTACTGCAGTCATTTCGCAATGTCACAGGACGGAGTAACTGACTCCTCCACGACATAACTGCACACACACACACACACACACACACACACAACTGAGGCTTTGACCCTGCTTTGACTCTGAGGCTTGAACAACCGTCAGTGCCGCAACAATCTGACCTCCAGGAGAATAAAAAAAAGGGGGGAGAAGAGAGAGAGAGAGAGAGACGGGGAGGGTTGAGGAGACAAAGAGGGAACAACTGAAATCAAGGAGTCAGTGGGAGTAGAAACAAAGCTGGCTGCACTCACATTTAAGAATGTGGATCTTCTCGCACATGTAGTTTTTTGATGTAGGCGAGGATAAAAGTGCCTCAGAGCCTCGATCCGGATTTAAAACGACGGGGAGGAAGGGAGACACCTCTTCCAGGACGGACACACACAGGAAATATGTTCATGTTTTTACACCAATGACAGCATGAACACTGTGAGCACACACACAGAAAGAGGCGTCAGCGTGCATCCAGATGATTATCCTCACACACACACATATTCCACAACTGTAGGTGTTATCTTTATTATTCATACGTTAAAAAAAGAGAGAGAGTCGAAGACGGGAGGCAGAAACAAGTAAAAAACAATCGGAGTCGCAAGTCAGAAGAGTCTCAGTCTGTCTCCTCACTTTCAGGCCTTTTTAAGTCATCCTCGTGTTTCTGCAGCGTTATGTGTGCATACCATTGTAGTGACTTCTCTTTGGCAGGAGGCAGAAACATTCCAGGGAAATGGCTGACCCAGAATAACACACACACACACACA